ATGGAGCGGGAAGCAGGAAGCGGCTGGCAGGTCAGGGCATGGGTAGGACGTGCTCCCAAGAGGAGCAGGAGGTTGTGCTCCGGATGGGAGCAGGAGGTTCGGCTCCGAGTGGGACCAAGAAGTTCAGAGTTCCCTTGATAAAACAGCTCAGGTATTGAGCATGAATGATCCTCTATGACTGAGGGCATCTGGGAGAATGTTTCCGGCTTTTATGGGTGACGTTGGAAACGTCGGCGAGCGCCGGAGGCACAAGGCATGTTGGGAGCTGGAGTCCGGCTGGGCCCGCTTGGGGGTGGATCCGACAGGAGTGGATGTGACACTTATCTGTCTGAGCATTCCTTCTCTGTGGCCGTCTCCAAGTTTTGGTACTCCACCACCTCCTTCACCCATGGTGTCCCCGCAAGGTTCTGTGCTAGGGTCTCTACTCTGCGTCCTGCAGTGTTTCCCCCAGCGCTTTATAAGCCTGGTGGCCCGCCAGGCTTTGCTTGGCCACCCGCCAATCTGTATCCAGTGGGCAGCTCAGAACCGAGCTGGCTTTGTGAACTAGATTGTTGAGTCTCTTCCTGTCTCGGTCAGAGCTGCCAGCACCCCAGCAGACCACAGCAGAGTGGATAACAGAGCCAACCACAGAGTGATAACAGGATTTTAGCAGCTGGGAATTAACTCAGAAGGACCTCAGTCTCCTCAGGAGGTGGAGGCGGCTTTGGCCCTTCTTATACAGCATCTGTGTTGTTGGACCAGTTCAGTTTACTGTTGAGGTGAACACCCAGGTACTTAAAGGTATCCACCCCCTCAATGTCTGCTCTCTGGATGTTTACTGGTGAGTGTCAGTCACCATTTCATTTGTTTTGCTGGTGTTCAAGCAAACCTAGTTATGCTCACACCAGTCCTCAAAGTTCATGATGACTGACCTGTACTCCAGGTGATTCCTCTCAGACACACAGTCGACAATGGCCGAGTCATCAGAGAACTTCCGGAGGTGACAGCTGCTCGTGTTGTAGGCGAAGTCTAAAGCCGGGCGTACACTGTGTGACTTTTTCACTTTTTTGAGCCGATTTTCCACTCGTGCGAGAATCCACGAGTTCGGGGCGAGTTTTGCGCCGAGCGTGGTGTAGTGTACAGGGAGTTACGAGAGGCGATTAACACCACGTGACCAGATACCGATCAGCAATCGAGAGCTCGCACGGACTTCTGGCGTGTTTAATATTTTGCTCGTCCCTCGTGAGGGTATCGCACTGTTGAAGAGGCACTGCGACCCAAAAGGTACCAGAACCGCTCACGGCGCATGCGCAATCCTGCATCAACACCGCTCGCCGGCTATTTCCCTAATAACACACGTTGTTCGTTTTTGTTTCTACACGTTTTTTACTCACAAAGATTGTCAAGAAAGCGTGTTTGTCGTGTTCATGTCAAATTAAACTGATCACAAAACACAGATTTACTTTCTTTATTTCGTTTTCCTCATCCAACCCCCATAAATCCCTGTGTGTCCTCCTGCAGCACTCCCGAAGGACAACAGGCAAGACAAGACAAAAAAGTCTGACGTGTTGAGTAAAAACTGCTATTTTTAGCATATTTTTTAGGGCCGACGTGTTGCTACCAGACGTACAGTGTGAGCAGTCAGATCGCATCCGAGAACTGGGTCGTACAGTGTGAGCACATGACTCGTGAGATCTGCTCTGCGAGGAAGTCATACAGTTTGAGCTGAAGCCGAGTGCTACGAGTGAGAAAGTTGCACAGTGTACGCCCGGCTTAAGGTGTAGAAGATGAAGAGAAAGGGGGAGAGCACTGTACCCTGTGGAGCTCCAGGACTGCACGCAACCACCTCAGACGTACAGTTGTGCAGCCTCACATGCTGTTGCCTGTTGGTGAGGTAGTTTAGGTAGTCCACTCCTGCACCCCTCACCTTCTTCTGCAGATGATGGGTGAGTCCATGAATGTTATGTAATGTTGTGTTTTCTGTGCAAAAAAAGCTCTGGCGCCCCTGTTTCAGGTTGTAGAATTTTTTTCTGTGTGTGTGTGTGTGGGGTGGGGGGAGTGATGATGGTGGAAAAAAACAGGATTGCTAGTTTTGCCAATTCATTTCAATGATAAGCAAAATTCTTGTCTCTGATTGGCCAATAGCAATGCAACTCTTCTGCTGCCTCAGTTTTCTCTTCTTTCTTGCCTTTGTCCTGTTCAGACTCGACTAGTAATGCCTTGTATGCTGGTCCGAGTCAGGGCGCGGTTGCACGCCTCCAGCTTGTTCAGAACTTGGCATCTAGGTTTTTGACAGGCACCAGACTTCGGGAAACATTTAGAAGTATAGAGCAAAGTTTAAAGTCCTCTTGCTTGCATATAGGGCCTTCACAGCACTGCTACACAGGCTGAGACACCCTCTGCGCTCTCCTTCCCGTGGGCAGTCACAAGCCAAGGTGGGCGGGGCCATAAATGTCAATTTTCCTTACGTAGAAAAGGCTGGCTTTTTCTGACTCGCTTATTTTCCCATCTAATTCCTCTCCGCGACTAATGCAGGCGATGGGGGTAGAAGAAAATTTTCATCTTCCGCATGTGTGTGCAACTCCAAGTGACTGACCGGATTTCAAATAAAAACAAGTACTACACAGTTCCACTGTGTATCTTTAAAGTTCTTTGTTTTTCTTTCAGTCACAAATAAAAACACAGGAATTCATTTGTTTGGATTAAAACTGTTTTTATGTACTGTGTTAAGAAAATATGGATGACTGTAGTTTAATGAGTGCAAAAAGAGGCTTCCCCAGTGGCACTAATTACGTTCCTGTTCCCTGTGTGCACTCATTCACCCTTTACCCCGCTGTCTGGAAACAGCTCAGCATAAACCCGGAGGAGACGAGACTGCTCTGCCACAAATCTGTGAATGGGTCAGGAATCAGGACACAAGAGGCCATCCGGCTTCATCTGTGTGAAAACATCCACTTCTGCGTCTGTGAGATGAGCCAGGAGGACAGGTGAATGACCTTTGACCTGGCACGCATCTTAAAGCTGCTCAGTGTGCCAGTAATGTGTCCACACCTGTCAGACACCCACGTCACGCGTCTCACCCCTAACAGAGCATGTGTGCTTGTCTGGGCCTCTCTGTTATGGTGGAGCTGTGTGAATGTGTTATGGGAGGGCGAGTGATGGATGACCTAATCTGAAGGGACATAGAAGAACTGGAGGGGTGTGTGCGTGCGTGCGTGTGTGTGTGTGTGTGTGTGTGTGTGAGAGAGAGAGAGAGAGAGAGAGAGATAAGGATATTTTTGTCCAATTTATGTGAAGTACTTCAAGGCCTGTGAAGTTATATCAATGTTGTGAAGTTGGCGTTCAAGTGATTGTGTCTGGAGTCCGCTGTGCTCAAGCCCCAAGCATTCACAGACACGGGAGTTTGTCTGATTACAATTTTTTAAATCCTTTGTTCTTCATCATAAACTGAATTACTACCAAATCAACTTTGTTTCTGGAATTTGATTATTATTATTATGATGATGGCTCCCACTGCTATAGCGCCTTCTAGGGTTCTAACCCCCCCAAGGCGACACACACACACACACACACACACACACACACACACACACACACACACACACACACACACACACACACACACACACACACGTCTTCTATCATAGTGAGGGCCATCCATGGACTCCCATTCATTTTTGTGACTGATAAATGTCCTCACATTGTAGGGAAAGTAGTAAAAATGGTCCTCAGTAGGGACCGAAATTAGTTTCCTTCGCAGGGTGTCTGGGCTCTCCCTTAGAGATAGGGTGAGAAGCTTGGTCATCTGGGAGGGGCTCGGAGTAGACCTGCTGCTCCTCCACATCGAGTGGAATCAGGATGCCTCATGGTGAGGTTTTCCGGGCACGTCCAACTGGGAGGAGACCCAAGGGAAGACCCAGGACTGGAGGGACTTTGTCACTCAGCTGGCCAGGGAACGCCTTGGGGTTCCCCTGGAGGTGCAGGCCCAAGTAGCTGGGGAGAGGGAAGTCTGGGCGTCTCGTCTTAAGCCGGGCGTACACGGTGCGACTTTTTCACTTTTTTGAGCCGATTTTCCACTCGTGCGAGAATCCACAAGATCGGGGCGAGTTTAGCGCCGAGCGTCGTGTAGTGTACAGGGGGTTACGAGAGGCGATTAACACCACATGACCAGCTGCCGATCAGCAGTCGTGAGCTCGCACGGACTTCTGGCGTGTTTGATATTTTGCTCGTCCCTCGTGAGGGTATCGCACTGTTGAAGCGGCGCTGTGAGCAGCTGCGACCCAAAAAGTCCCGGAACCGCTTGCGCATGCGCAATCCTGCATCAACGCAGCTCGCCCGCTATTTCCCTAATAACACACGCTGTTCGTTTTTGTTTCTACATGTTTTTTTTACTCACAAAGATTGTCAAGAAAGCGTGTTTGTCGTGTTCGTGTCAAATTAAACTGATCACAAAACACAGATTTACTTTCTTTATTTAGTTTTCCTCATCCAACCCCCATAAATCCCTGTGTGTCCTCCTGCAGCACTCCCGAAGGACAACAGGCAAAACAAGACAAAAAAGTCTGACGTGTTGAGTAAAAACTGCTATTTTTAGCACATTTTTAGGTCCGATGTGTTGCTACCAGACGTACAGTGTGAGCAGTCAGGTCGCATCCGAGAACTGGGTCGTACAGTGTGAGCACATGACTCGTGAGATCTGCCCTGCGAGGAAGTCGTACAGTTTGAGCTGAAGCTGAACGCTACGAGTGAAAAAGTCGCACAGTGTCCGCCTGGCTTTAGGCTTCTGCCCCCGCGCCCTGACTCTGGATAAGCAGCTGAAAACGGATGGATGGTCCGCAGTAGGTATTAAGTACAAGAACACACGCGCACACACACATGCAATTAAACTGTTGAGGAAACCGTGATCTTTAAATTATCTGCAATGAAGTAAAAAGCAAATAAATGAAGCTATCGTACATCTTTTCTATTGGTGCTTTTTCTGAATTCCTGTTGCAGTAAAAGAAAGTGAGAACAAACATGTATGAGGCCGGATTGATCCTTTAATATTACCAAGAACAAAATAGACACAGCAATGAGCCATAATATTTATATAGATATATACAAATAACACTGAAAGGAAGGAAAAATGTGATTTTTTTCTGAGTTCAGCAGTGAAGCGTAAATATGAGAAGAATCACATTACTTATAAACATCAGATGGTTTCACCCCTACAGAGGAGCTTAAAACTGCACTGAATCTGAACTGTGCTTGAATTATGGTGCTCACTCACTCACTCACTCACTCACTCACACACGCATGCACACACACACACACAGTCAGGAAAATACATTCAGGTTTGCAGTAAAACCCATTTTCTCTGATTTCAACACAGACACACCTGGACTGGCTAAGCTTTAACCACCTGTAGTGGCTTGTATGGCTTGTTCAGCGTCGCTCGGGGTGATAAGCACATTGTGTCTGCAGCTAACACACACCACTGCTTCCTTGTGTGTGTGTGTGCGTTCACCGTATAGGGAACACACATCCATCCACCTCGGGAGGTTGTGTCCAACTCGGTTCAGTCTGCGTGTCCATGTTTCTGTTTCAGTCCATCTTAGGCTAAAGTGCTGCACAGGAGGAACAGCTGTTCTCACACACTCAGTATTGGACATAAAGATGAAATCCTTGTGTTTTTTAGCTGCATACTCCTACATGAGGATAGAAGAGTAAATGTTTGCTCTGATGTCAGACACAAATGTCTTAATATGTCCAGAGTGCCTTTCATTTGTGCTGTCCAACATCAACTCTGTCCTCTCACTGAACAAAAGCTGTTCGAAGAGGTCCGATCAGCCCAGGTCAGTCCTCTAAAACCTGCTCCCACAGCAGGCTTCGTGACTCAGAAGGAGTCTCACCAGTCAGGTCACTTGTCCCTCTTGTCTCGTCACTGTTCATCTACCAGTTGCAGTCTTTTTTGAGGAAGGCAAGGACTTTGCGTCCCAAACTGGCTTTCCAGGGCTTGACAAAGCTCTTCATGTTAACCAGGAGGCGACCCTGCTTACGGTCTGAATGACCCGCCACCAAGTACTCCACACCTGAGAAACCAGGACAACGACAATATCAGTTCAGTTTATAGAACCTATTTAAAACTTTAATCATTTGATAAAGTTTCTTTCATTACTTCATATAAAGACATTCTCGTGCACTCCTAGAGCACCAACACGTTCCTTTTGGCAGTAATAAATAAATTCTTTGTATTTTACATTATAAACGTGAGTCTGAGCTAAAAATGCACTGTACAACAACAAAAACAGGTTTTGAGCTATTTTCATTTCATTTGTATAAGTCTTATATATTCTCTAACTTACCAATAAAATCCTCCTAAACAAACATAATTGAAGACTGATGAGCTAGCGGTAGAGACCTGCACTGGAGCCCTAGGCCCGCGGGCTTCGGGCCAACGTAATTACCTCGGACACGGGCCGGGCCGGGCGCCTTTATTTTTAATCGAATTCATGAAAAAAACTAAACACTTGAACGCAGCAGCACCTGCCTGCTTCTCACGCACCCGTTAGCTCAGTTAAGGTGTGTGTGGTCTATAAATGTGCCGATATAAACGAATTCTCAAACTGCAGATTGAAACATGTGCCCCTATTCTAATACGCCATTTTATGTCCACTTTGATGTCAGAAACCATTCCTTTATTCTCATGAAAACGGCAGCATTCTGTTTTTATGTGAATAAATTCGCTCTGCAGTTAAAAAATACAGCATTCGTTGCTGGTTTTTTCTAACTGGAGAGCACATTTTCAGAGCGGCAGATTAAATTTACAAACGCTACAATAACTGGGGGCGTTTATTTAATCTGCTGCTCTGAAAATGCGCTCTGCAGTTAGAAAATTAGAACACTGCTTTATTTCTAATTGCACAAGAGCGCATTTTCAGAGCAGATTAAATTTACAAACGCATCCCATTAATATGGTGTTCGTAAATTTCATCTGCCGCTCGAAAAATACGCTCTGTTAGAAAAAAAAGCTGCATTGATGCTGTTTTTCTTTCCTTTTTACTGCAGAACGCTTCTCACAGATAATTAGAACGCTGAGTATTCTGTCACGCTAAAACATTATAAAAGGTTAAAAAAAAGTCGGGCTCGGGTCGGGCCAGAGAATCCTGAAAACCTTTCCGGGCCGGGTCGGGCTGGGGCTCCAGCCCCTCGGGCCGGGCCAGACACGGGCTCAGATTTTAGGCCCGCGCAGGGCTCTAGCTAGCGGCCAGCAGTGGCGGCTTCAGAATGTTTTTCTGCAGGTGCTATGAAGGAAGTGGTCATGCGTACCTGTTGTTCTCTAAAACACCTTCAACACTAGCAGATACACATGAGTGCACAACACCTCAACAACACCTGAAACAATCATTAATATGCATCATAAACATATGAACAATCGCTGACTTTTCCATGAAGTCATAAACACATACAGCCACACAGAAAACCATCTATAGTGTTGCAAGGTTAGCTAACGTTAGCGTTAGCATTTCCAGCGGCAAAACCCTCGACTGCTGTGGCGGTTGAGGGTTGACTTTTTTAAATGTTTTTTCTCCCCTCCTGACTCAATCCTCATATAAACCCTCTGATCTCTATTAAGGTAGCGCGACTCGGGTTGCGAATGACCACAGTCACCAATTCTTGTCATGTGCCTATGTACGTATGTCTGGTCTCAGAATTGTGTGTACCGAAACTCTAATTTCCCTCTGGGATTAATAAAGTATCTTTGAATTTGAACTGAATTGAATTCATCCAGATCCGTAGGTGTTTGTGGGTCTGAGATCACTTCCAAACATTCATTCGTTTCTCACTGAACCCGTGGAAACGTGGGCAACAAAAACCGATCCATCTTACCACTAGCTCTACCTTTCACTGTCCTCAGGTGGAAAATGAGGTCAAAGGTTAACATCAATTTCCTGTTTTGGTTTAAGTTTTTACTATCTATATGATAATTTACTGATTATTTTTGTTTTGTATGTTAAATATTATCACATCCACACGTTCAATTAAAATTGTAAAAAAAAATATCTAATATTTACTTGGGGGTGCAATGACTAATCCAGGGGTAGCTATAGCGCCCCCTGGCGCCGCCACTGGCGGCCAGTCTGAGTGCAACTGTATTACTGTTGTCTTAAAATGGCGTCAGTATAAATATTTCACAGGAACACATGCAATAAAACTTTCTAATTGTTTACATTCCTGTCAGTTTAGCATTACATTTCATTATTTTAGCAGAAATCAATCTGAATTCCCTGGATTTGATCCCTGGAAGCAACAGACGTGCTGTATCTAGCTGCTCCTGGTGATGTTTTAAGATGGCAGCAGTTCACCTTAATCTTGGTTATTCTACGACTAACCGTTAGCTTATCAGTCTTACTGGATGAAAAAAGCTATTGTCCAAAGGAAGCCGTCCGTCTACAGTGGTAGTTATATTTAACTTTTACACATAAGTACACCTGAAAATACGCACAAAAATCACAAATTTGTTGTACTTTTATTATTTTCTAAGGAGATAAAGAAAAATCCTGTGTGCATGTGTGTGTGTGTGTGTGTGTGTGTGTGTGTGTGTGTGTGTGTGTGTGTGTGTGTGTGTGTGTGTGTGTGTGTGTGTGTGTGTGTGTGTGTGTGTGAGACCTGGGTTAAGAATGGGGCAGGTGCAGCCCCGTGCCGTCCAGGACTCGGGGTAAAGGGTGACTCGGCTTGGCTGTATGTTCAGTTTGGTGTTCTGACTGAGCACCTTTTGAACTTTGACCTCCACCTCAGCATGGCTGCCTTTATCATGGGCTGACAGCACTTTCACCTTTAGCACTGAAGGTCAAAAAGAAAAGGAAAATGTTGGAACAAAACTACACGCTCGAGAGCCACACTTGTCTTGAGACTCTCGTTTTGTCTTTACATCTTTGAACCAGACTCCTAGTCTCGTTCAGGAAACAGAAAAAAGGAATTTCTGTGACGATTCCTGTAAAGAAATGGCGTTAGAAGCCTGATATCTTACCGTAAGCATAATTCATGGTGCAGAAGAGTTTACTGTTGGTCAGCAGCTGCTCTTTGCACTCACATTTCTCTGCAGGGAGCAGACACAAGCAACAATGTGTAACATAATCAAATAACGTGTGTGTGTGTGTGTGTGTGTGTGTGTGTGTGTGTGTGTGTGTGTGTGTGTGTGTGTGTGTGTGTGTGTGTGTGTGTGTGTGTGTGTGTGTGTGTGTGTGTGTGTGTGTGTGTGTGAGGTTTTGTATGTAGCGTCCTGAGAATGTCGTGAATGTGTTCGGTGAGGAATGTGCCTATAAAAGCTGCAGTCACTGGGTGGAGGGGGTGCTGAGAAGAGGAACAGCGTTCACACTCCGGAGACGTTTGTTACCTAGAAGTCTCCAGATGACAGATCTGCCGCGTCTTACCCGAGTAGTGGAGAGCAGAAAACAGTTCATCTGCTCTGAAGATCCTGACGGGTTCACTGGAGTTTACATCCAGGTCGTACTGTTCCAGATCAGAGCTGCAACACCAGAACGTCGCTCACGTTAAAGCGGATAAACCTGGATGCTAACGGCGTCCGGAGCGCTCTTTACGCTCGTCGTGTTTAGCCTCGATGCTAGCATAAACATGGGAGTACAAAATACCTTCACTCACCCAAACATGCAATGTCCAGTGTATGGGTCACAGTCTCCTGCACAGTCACACGGACGACAGCCGTACTCGTGAAAGCCCCAGTATCCCACCATGCACCTGTCACAGTTCACGCCGCCTACTCCAGGTTTGCAGATGCAGTTTCCATTGGAGGAGTCGCACAGAGCGCCATCAGCCAAGTGAAAAGACACGGAGCCCGATGGGTGACAGCTGCATGCTGAGGAAGAAAAATTATTTTTATCTTGTGTACGTTTAACCAAAAAGCACGTTGCCAAATAGTGCCAGAGCTGTTCCTGTGGCACAACAACTACACGTCAGCAATAAGCAGGGAGTCTAACGGTCGTCTCAGCAGATAATCATCATTTATTTATTGTTTTATACGTCGCTCCATTGTCTGTCTGGTTTTGTTGCAGACAAAGGCGTCTGTCTTTTTCTTATCGAGCAAGTGTTTGTAGTTCTTACTTTACGACGGCAGCTAAACACCTACTGAACACAGATCAAACGGCCTTCTGAAGATCTGCCTGAACACGAGGACCAGCCAACGTCTGTTCAAGAATGAAAACTCAAACTTGTCCATACACTACTAACACCCCCCCCACCCCCCACCCCAGTGCCATCCAATTGTGTGCTGATAGGGTGTTCTTTAAACAACCTCCAAAAACAACATTTTTGCATCCGCGCTGCAGAATACACCCAGGTCTCCACAGGAGAAAAGCATCTGCTGGGACCGAGATGTCAGGCCTGCTGCATGGATCTGTCCTTATCTGGGGGGCAGATAGGGTGCCTGGGGGGGGTCGTGGGTCGGAGCACCTTCTCTTCTGTTTCGTGACGCAGTGTGACTGGCAGTTAACAGCCTTTAGACCCAGAAGCAGGAATATGACTTTAAGTTTGAGGAAGCATAAATGCACAGTGGGGTTTGCTTAGTAAAGTGTTGTTTCTGACTGATTTTGTAGAAAACAAAACGGTCAGAACACCACACATTTTTGTGTGATGAGTAAAAAGGTAAAAATTAAATGGGAAAGAAGTCGATAGAAAGTTTATTTAAAGGGCCCCTTCACGCAGAAACGCTGTAATACTTGTTCTTTCAGAAATACAGTGGATCTCTCAGAGTCGCGCCCGCTTACAGATCTTGAAAAAGTGATTTGGTCAGAAAAAAGCAGGTCTCTTCTATTGACCATTTGCACCTGGCGTCACGCCACTCATGTGACTGCCCCCTTCGCCATGATGGACGGCAAAGAGACCGTTTATACTCGTAGAAACTCCAGTGAAGCTAGTCAAAACAAGCCAGTTTGTAGCCTTTTACCACTTTTATTGAGTTGATGTGACAGTAAAATGGTTTCAGCTTGCTGCGTGGTCGGCTGCACTAACAGACGAGGACGTAAACTCAACTCGTTTTTTCTTAATAACTTTGATGGAGACTGAGGACGGAGATGAACCGCAGCGATCAATCAAGCGGACTAGCAGGCCTCAGATTAGCAGCGAACGTGTTTTTAGCGGGTAAGATTAACGTTCATTTATTCCACGAGGAAGACAGGAACAGGGATAAATGTGATGTGTTTATACTAGATATTGATAATCCTGATGGACGGGTATTTCTCCACGGAGGCTGCGCTCCGTCCACTGTAGTGTAAAGCCAGACAATTATTAACAATATTAAAGCTCCGATGTATGACTACGTGTGTTAAAATGACGTTATTTATTTATTTATATGAGTGTCGGCGTTCAGAGATCTTCTCATTCAGGTGTGAGAGCAGCAGCTGAACCCGGTACCACCACCAGCAACAGAAGCTGGTAGGGATCCGGACTTTTTAACAATCAGCTTTGACGTAAAGTGAAACTCTGCTTATAACATAGTCTAATAAGCTTTGAAAGAAAAGCGTCTGGACTTCTTTGAGTTGCTTGAAGACGTTTCACCTCTCATCCGAGAGGCTTCTTCAGTTCTAAGGTCAAATGGTGGAGAGTCCCAGATTTAAACCCAGTGGGAGTTTCCCCCCCGAAGAGGGAACAAAAGACCCCCTGATGATCTTCTACATAAACACATGAGCCAAGGTGTGAGGGTGGGTGTGGGTCCTATTCAGCCAGAGTTTCAGGTGAGCTCATTGTGAAGCCTGGCCCCACCCTATCATGTGAATTCCTGAGGTCAGATGGCCCAGGATATGCGTGGGCGTTGAGGCATCTGGGAAGGGATCTCAAAACTGGATTATAGGTGGCAGACAGTTGGTGTCGTAAACCACCGCCTCTGTTCAAAGATGGTTGCTCACAGTGGACATAAATGGCTTCCTTTACTCCTCTTTCAAACCATCTGTCCTCTCTGTCCAAAATGTGAACGTTGGCATCCTCGAAAGAGTGACCTTTGTCCTTTAGATGCAAATGAACTGCTGAGTCCTGTCCCGTGGAGGTGGCTCTTCTATGTTGTGCCATGCGCTTGTGAAGTGGCTGTTTGGTTTCTCCGATGTAGAGGTCTGGGCATTCCTCGCTGCACTGTACAGCATACACCACATTGTTCAGTTTGTGTTTAGGAGTTTTGTCTTTCGGGTGAACCAGTTTCTGAGTGTGTTGCTGGGCCTGAAGTACACTGGTATGTTGTGTTTGGAGAAAACCCTCCTGAGTTTCTCTGATACACTGGCTACATAACTTTATAACATAAAGTTATAAATCCAGAGGGGTGAATTTAGGCAAAGTCAACAACATGTTTACATCGGTGAACAGCTGCAGAGAGAACGTAAGCTAACGTTGCTAAGCTAGTTAGCATACCGCTCTCTATGAGCCCCCGCTAGATGCGCTACTTCTTCTGATAACTGAACCGGGCATGGACTAGTTGAAGGAACTCTGGAGGAGTTTTGTTTTTGTTTTGATCGCAAAAACAATTTCAGGCTCTACTTTTCCCTTTGTTTAGTACTCGTGTCGCTCACCGTTTACATGCTGGTGGACCCACGTTATTAGGTGACGTCGGTGCAAAGGGTCAATATCACAGGGAAAATTGTTGTCATGGCCCCTCCCGCCATGGTTTCTCTACTAGCATTTTGGCTAGTAGAATCTAACTGTTAGCAACTCCAAAACTGTGTTAGCTGTGCAGATAAAATCAACTTTGTATTTTTTTTACCCAAGAAAAATATGTTTTACAGCAATCTGAGTTTTGAGTTAGCCAATCAGAAGAAAGATATTTGCATATAATGAATATTAATGAGAAAGACTTCAAACAGAAGTAACAGGGTTAGGGTTCCCACAGAAAACAACTCACAAGGCATCCATTCCTTCTAGAAACCACAGCAGATTTATTAAAAAACAAGTGAATGATTTATGGAAAATTTCTACATAAAACAAACATTATTAGTATAAACTTTCCAAAATCTGACCTTCGTGCTTTGGTTTCTAAACCAACATCACTCGAATCTTTCTGAAAATCCAGACGGACAATCATTTGAACCATCCAGGAGTAGAAAGATAAGATAAACCGTATCAGAAGACCAAGCTGTACAGTGTCCATAAACTCATAAAGATACAGCGCGTGCACACAAGGCGATGCCTGTTCTTCAGCGAGGAGCCTGTAAATAAATGACAGAGCTTGCGGCTCCGCCTCGATTCCCCGTAAACCCAGGACACGTGCGTTTGACTGCGTTTGCATTTTTCAGAGACAGTTTATGAGAACGTGGATGAGAAACTTCACGACTCCGGTGGTAAATACGCGTCCGTCTAGAATAGCTGTCAGCTACAAGAGCTTAGACAACGACAACTTTATGAGCAGAAACATGACAAGGCACCGGCCTGAACAGCCAGCAGAGATGATGATCTCCACCCACACCTAAACACGCACTGTAACCCTACCTTCTATTAATCTGTTTGGGTGTGCAAACGACACAAGAGCTTTTTTTTTCATGGCCCCTGAGAGGTTGGTATGAAAAAAATGTTCCTCACAACGGAGGGAAATTCCTCTTTTGTCAGTGAGAGTCTGCAGTCTGATTTCACAACCTCTACCTTCATCTCAGGGGTACTCCAAGAATTCCTTCAGTCCCCCCTCCCACATCATTCAGCCATCAGCGAGGCTCACTATCTGTGATATTTAACACCCAGGTGAGACCTCAGTTGTGACAAAAATGCACAACGCCTAACCCGATCCCTGGAAGTCAAACCTCACATGATTGAAGGTTTCTGTGACTATATGAGATTGGAGGTACCAGAAAACACCCGGGGGCTGCAGGTTCAAGTGCAACGCATCACTACGACATTGGATGTGCTACTACTAGTTTACACATTTAATTATAGATTCACTAGGATAAATACTATACAGTAATCCCTCATTTATTGCGGTAGATGCGTTCCAGACCTGGCCGCGATAGGTGAAAATCCGCGAAGTAGGGACTCCCAGCATGCCCCTCGCGGGGAATCCCTCCACGTCGCACCTACGTCACAAACCGCGGCTATAAACGGAAGTCGCCTTTCCAGCTCACCACTCGGTCATCGTTTCTTCAGATTCATGATCAGAGTTTCCAACCTACTGATCCATCCCACGAACTATCAGCTCATAGTAAGTTATCTTACTTACTTCTGGAAAGCCCGGCATTTCCGTGTCACTTCGTTGACGCTCGAACGCTCGGGGGTTTCCTAGATTAAATCGTGAGCCGGCGTTTCACCGACGCTATCACTTCCGCGTCTGTGAAACCACGCTCCCTACAAGCTCAACTCCCGAATCCAGCCGACCTGTCTGACATACAGTACTATATTGAATTATCGTATGATCACATTCTCTTTTTGTGGGTAAAACTCAAGAAAAAAAATTTTTTACTTGGTTTTTTTAGTTTTATTATAAAAAGTGCATTTTATGATGAAATTGATGAAAAAAACAAGAATTTCTTGATATTTCGCATAGAAAAATACCGCGAATCAGTGAAAAACACTGCGAATCTGCGAATTCCCCCTGAAAAATGCTCCAAAGAAAAAATCAGCGAAGCAGCGAATCCGCGATGAACGAACCGCGAAGTAGCGAGGGATTACTGTATATAGTTTATCTCTCACCAAATAGAATATTTACTAAGAAATCACAAAATAACCATAGAAACACTTGGTGTGTGTGTGCGTGTGTGTGTGTGTGTGTGTGTGTGGGGGGGGGGGGTGTTAAAAGGGAGTTTTCCTCTCCACTGTCGCTGCATGCTTGCTTAGTATGAGGATTGCTTTAAAGACTCTGACACTAGTCAGTGACTTGATGCAACCTGCTGGGTT